CTAACTATTATTGAAATATCAGTTGCTTGTAGGGTTCAGGGGATCTCGTAGTCGGGCAGTCTCGACTAGAGCTTTCGTTCTTGTTAGTGATAAACTTGATATGCGCGCGATGTACGTACATTTAAAACAAATTATCTAGCTCTTCTATCTTATGAAATCGACGCGTTCAAGCATACAGACAGACGGACAGGGCCAAATCGACTCAGTTTGTTGCACTGATCAAGAATATATATACTTTGTGGCGTCTGCCTCCTTATGCCTGTTACATACATTTTAACAAAACCATTATACCCTGATTTCCCATTTTCAATGGGTTCAACTGCATTCACAGTGCTCACTTCTTTTTTATTTTTTATAAGTATTTGCTAATTTTATTGTCCTGACTCAGACATAATTTAGTTGAATTTATAAGTAAGTTAATAATCGAGCAATATATTTATTCGAAAAACTTGCGAAACGATTTGTGTATTAGTTAAAATCGACTTTGAACATTTTAAATAGGCAGGCCATAGGCAGATGGAACTAAATGCCAAATTGAGGCAAGCCTAGATTGTGGATTCAAGCATGCCCGAACTGGTCTCTTGGCCACCCCAATAATAACTATAATTAAAACGTCTAATTGGTGGTATGGAATGAATAAATGTAGTGCTAATGTAATCGTATTGTACACTTACCTTGCGTCTTCGCACAATTTTGGCCGCGCAGCATTGATTGCCGCAACCGCCAACGCATTTAGCGTACTTCAGCGGCTGCCTGGAGCGGCAGTCGTTCTCCGTGTAATACTCGCGCACCTGCTCCTTGCGACACGTCGCGGCGGCTGCAGTAAAAAGTGGAGTCGAACGGGAAAATGCAATTAGTGAACCGCCTTTGACAAGAAGACGGCGGCGTCGGCCGGCTAATGAGATTACGCACACACGCACCCACACACACAGCCACAGACACACCTGGATCACCTGTCCTTTCTTGCTAGTCTAGTTACATGAGAGATGAAATGGGCGTGTAATGTTTGATGTGTGTTTGATATAGGTTTTGTATGTGTGTGTGAGCAAGCAAATGAAGTTATGCAGCATAGCCTAGCGGATGCGTTGCGATTCGGGGCAGCTGAAAGGCTGGAGAAAGGCTGTCTAAGTTGTCAGAAAGTTGGCCGACTGGCATATAATTTTCTTTAAATTATAAGTGCGTCTAGCCCCCGTCGCCCCCTACCCTAACTGCTGAAAACTGACAACGAGTTGGTACAACTTTACGGAAACTTTGTAATATGCCCATATTTGCACTCAATTTGCTCGATGTATAGAGCAAGGTGCTTTATTTAATGCCTAGACATTTAGGATATTTAAGAAATCAATCTGAGGTATGCGTCTTTAGTTGTTTCTCTGTTATATTTCGAATATTAATATCGTCACGCATTAATATATCCTTGAGTATCCAGCAGATAAGATGGCAATTCACGCTAAAAATACGATATCTGACTATTGATCCTTACAGATTACCAATGAATAAACCATGAGATCAGGGGATATACACACATATATGTGCATAATTGAAGAGGATTGCTTAAATAAAATAAAGTTAAGCATTTCGTTTGCAATGATAAAATGTTATAGATCTCCCAACGTTCAAGAATTGAATAATGTTAATAATCGTTTGCCTATTGAAATGGTTTCCACAGTTTCTCTATTGTTTCAGAATCGTAGCACGCAAACCGCTTGACCTGATCGAATGTATGTTAGAATGAGAGATCGCAATATGTACCCGTGATTGTTGGGGGCTCTGTGATGCCCTCACCTTGATCGCAATAGCGTCCGCGCTGGCCGTGCTTGCATTTGCATTGATAGCCATCCTTGGAATTGGCATTGGGCACACAGCGACTGCCGCGACGACACTTGTGCTCCGAGCAGGGATCGACGGGCTCCTGCATGGATAGTAATATGATTAGCAAAACTTTCATGGTTAGCCATCGCACAGACTTACCTCCTTAATGTGCGGAGTCTCGTCCATGAAGTCCTGCTCGTCATCTTCCTCACCCTCAGAGGCGTCGCCCTCCAGCAGGGCACAACCCGGCGTGATTTTCTGCTGCCGCTGCGCATTGCCAAAGTCCACGAGCTTGTGATTGATCCAGACCTCCTTCATGCAGCCCTTGAAGCTAGTCAAGTTGCGTATCTGCCAGTTCTTGTAAGCCTGCTGGGCGGGCTCAACCGGCAGACCGCCCAGGAACATAGGCGTGCTCAATTTCAGATAATCGTTAGAGCCTTCATTTATGATAGACCGGGCCAGGCCTCGATCCACGCGCAGCGTGAAGTTCTTTTTGATGGCCAGTAGCTCGACGGCATGGTATTTGCCATCAGCGACCATTTCGAAGCTGTACATCGTGGACACCGGATAGTTGCCGACATCATAGCTAACGCGTATGCGTCCATTGAACAGCTCCACGGCCAAGTGCGCATCCTGGCCGTCGTACATGAGGATTCCGTTCTGTTCGGCGCTGCTAAACACAATGGTCACATTCGCCTCGGGCCTGGTGCGCAGCGGCTCCAACTCCACGAACGAATTGTTGTGGACGAAGCTGATACTGGTCAAGTACTCGCACCACTTGCCAGTGTAGCCCGGATGGCACTTGCACAAGTAGTCCGAGCCGGCGGCATTCGGCTGGAAGCAAACGCCGTGCTTGCACTCGTGGTTTTGGCACGGCGACGTCTGCGGATACATCATGGAAATTAGGTTGTGGCCCTCACAGTATTTGCCCGTGAAGTCATCCGGGCACTTGCAGACGTAATCGTTGATGCCATCGATGCAGGTGCCGCCATTCTGGCACATGTGATTCTGGCAGTCATCAATGTTGTCCGTGCAGTTGATGCCATGGAAGCCGGCCATGCACTCACAGCTGTAGTGGCTGAAGTGATCCAAGCACTTGGCCCCGTTCGCGCAGGGATTGAACTCCTGGCTGCAGAATTGAATCTTCGTATCGCACCACTCGCCGCTGAAGCCGGGCTGGCACTCACAGCGGTACGACTGTACGCCGTCGATGCAGGTGGCGTTGTTCTGGCAGCGTATGTCTTCGCCCAGGCAGTCGTCGATGTTCGTCTCGCAGCGGGCGCCTGTGTAGCCCGGCGCGCACTGGCAACTAAAGCGCCCCTCCTCCAGCACCGTGCAGGTGGCATTGTTGCGGCAGGGATTGCCGTAGCAGGCGTCGATCATGAACTCGCAATGCCTGCCATGGTAACCCGGCTGGCAGAGGCACTGGTAGTCGCGCTGGGGCAGAGCCAGGCACTGGGCCTTGTTCTGGCAGGGCTGCTCGTAGCAGGCATTGCACTTGGCCAGGATCTCGTTGCGCACCTTGCCACGGCACACGAAGTTCGACGAGGGCGTGGACAGTATCAGCTTATCCTTCATGTGCTCCGGCTCGGCGCAGCGTGCAATGCCTGGCTCCACATAGTCCAGCTTGATCCAGTCCGAGAACCACTTCAGCGAGCAGTCGCAGTACAGGGGATTGCTGCCCAAAGCTCTGCAAGTGTCAGAAGTGGGTGAAGGGTCAACAAAGGCTAACAAACTTAGGGAAGAATTGGAAAGAAGGGCAAGAAACCATTACTCACATGTGTGTCAACGACTTGAGATCCTCGAAGGAGCCCTCCGGTAGCATGGATATCCGATTGCCGTGCAGCGAAAGCACGCGCAGATTATTCAGACCAGACAACGCATGACGTTGCAGGCATTGCAGCTTATTGTACGAAATGATGCTGCAGCACACGGCAAAGAAGGAGAAGCAACATAATAAGATTGGGTCCAAGCGAATGAAAAGCAGAACATGTGGAAAATGAAGCATTTACCAAATTGCAGACACATGCGGCACACACATCGATGATGAAGAAATGAAAGTAATTGCGAAACGTTTCAAGAAAAGAAATGCATTGAAGATGCGAAACCCACATTCGCCTGACTACGCGGATACCCTGTAGATGCGCTGCGCATCGAGCTGCCCACCCCACTATTTGGTCAGATGAGAGATCCGACAGTAATTTGGATAGCACATGCGCGTTTCTGACATTATCCAACAGTGCGATATAATAATAGACCGCAGAGGAGATGCGTACAGGGTATAAACACGCCACAGCTTTGATTGCAGTCTGCAGATTGTGCACACAAGCGGTATAGGGCGACGACAACTAATGCTTAAGCACGAGTCACGACTTAACGTCTCGAATGAATTTCGTGGCCGGTCGAGACGAGCCCAGGCCAAGGGTGGCGGACATTGCCACCGCGCCGCACCGCCGAGCCACACTTATAGCCACAGCTAAAGCAAACCGCAAAATGCAATTGCCGCAAAAAAGCAGAAAGCAACGAAAAAATTGTGTCAAGCCCTCTTGACGCTGAAACGTTTCGATTCGATTCGTGTTGCCTTAATGCCTCGTACGAGCCGCATTGTGGCAATTAAAAAGTCATTAGAAATGGGCCCAGTACTTACAGCGTGGATAGTTTGGTTAGATTGGCGAAGGTGTAATTGGATAGTATGGTGATTTGATTGTTGCTGAGATCGCTGCAAACGAAGCAGAGAGAAACAATTTGTGTTTCGATTAGTCGGGGCCTGCAGCAAGCTGTGGCAAGCTGTTACTTACAGTCGTGTAAGGGCACGCAAGTGCCTGATGCGCTCATAATGTATCTGCTCGATCTCATTGGACTCCAGGTACAGCTCGGACGTCTCGGGCGGTATGCCGCGCGGTATTTCCTTCAGTTGATTGCGTGAGCAGCGCACCACAGTGCCGGTGCACGTGCAGGCCGGCGGACAATAGCCATCGCCGAGGCAGCCCTCGTTGTTGTCGCTGCTGCATTTGAATTCGTTGTGCGGCAGATCCTTGATTTGCACGTCACGTACCTTCGCTGGAGCAGCGCAACGTGCCGCACCGCCGCTCAGCGATTTTTTACGCAACCACTCGGCGAACCAGGCCAAATGACAATTACAATTGAATGGATTCGATGCTAGATTCCTACGAAATTAATGGGTAAATGCACAGGTTTTAGTTTAGGTTTTTCAATTAGTTACATATAAGTGTCTAAGCATGAGAAACGAAATGCAAACAACCCGAACATACATATGTAGCTAGGGGTGCAACGACAATTTTCCATCTCTACAAAGCCAATGCATTGACGCTAAGGCTACAATTAATTCGATTCAGAAGACATACTATATTTATATATACATATGTATGTATATTTATATTTGTATCTGCTACAAATCACTGACCAATCTGGCCAATAGAACACCATATCGGTTTGACTATACGACTGTAATTATTTTCTGCAAATGGGCTATACAATCTATTTCTCTAATCTATCTAGTTCCTTTTAAATAAATAAGTATATGACATATAAAGCAAATTAAGACTTCAAATGCATTACTTGATGTAAACGAAATATACATAAGCCAGCTCTACGCTTTGTATGTTAACGCTTAACATCTGTTACTTTGATGAGATACACTTAACATAAATTAAACTTCTATACAAATTTAGATTTCTGGCTAGGGCTATCTATGGAAAATGCAAATCTACCATCCCTCAGGTAATTTTGTTAAAGCTTTCGGTTCTGCTTAGCTTAACTGCAAATCTGATTGACACTAGCCATAATTGTATTATGGGTACAATGATATTCAATAGCAGCCTGGGCTGCACAGCGTTGAATGGCTACACTAATTATTTCCAATTTTGCACTTTTAGCAAGCGAATGTTTGCGGAGCATATGTTCCACTTGCTGCTCACTTGGATATGATTGGGCCGCACATGGAGCAGCATAAGTGCTGCAAGTCCTTTAATTATGCACTCGGCTGAAAGCAGGCGAAACAATGGCTCATAAATTGCATTGGCAATTCCAAACGTTACACCAGGTCCAGACTAATTTAATAAGCAATGCTGCTTTGTCATGCTATCAACATTGGCTAGCAGCTGGCTCTGCGTGTAAGTGTAGGGTGTGTGTGTGTGCGTGTGTAGGGCGAGCAGCCGCAGGCAACTAACTAACACTTTCAGCTGGCACCTACAGGTCCTCCGCCCATCCACCTGACTGATGGAGCATGTGGATGTCGTGTGGTGCACAGCACTTAATGACTTTCATTGATGCTATTTATTAGCTAGTTAAATGAATTTTACAATAATTCTAGATGCGGCCAAAGAACCACAGCACCACGCCCCAGCAGGCACCACACACCACACACACACCAAGTACAGTGCGACCCAACGAAGTTGTTCTTTCGTCGAGACCCACATATGTTACCTAACAGATGGTAAGAGTTAAGGAACGCTTATGGATTCTTTGGAAGGTAGACTAAAAGTCAATCCGTAGTGTAAGATATGCAAATATTTGGGCTCCTTTAGTTGAATTTCAAATTAAGAAACGTGCAGTTTCCAAGCTGTTACCCACATAATAGACATAGAATTTTGAATCCTTAGCATTATCTCCAAGCATTTAATATTATTTACGGCATCCAGCATCAATTGTGCATATGTTTTTGAATATTTTAGTCAATGAAGCCTGTATATCAGAAATTATGTACATTAATTTTCAATTAGCTGTCGATTTCTTGAACCATTACAATAAATCTCAATTGATAACTTTAAATATGAATCAGTAAGCAAGGCAGTGATGATTTCCTTTAAAGTTACTCTTCGTTTAACTCAGCGAAGTTCTACTGTATATGCTTTAGTGCTCTTTATTGAACTCAATTTTAATTAATTAAATCATCGAAGGCGGTGCACGCCCGCAAATGTGTGTGTGTGTGTATGGGTGCGTGTACGTGTACGTGTACGTGTACGCGTGTGTAGTGAGGGTTGATTTACAGCAGTCAGGCACAACAATGTGGAGCAACTCAGTCACACTGTAGTTGGGATACACGAAGACAGCGGGTTAGCCATGAGCTACATATATGAGATATAAACAAGTATGTGTGTGTGTGTAGTTCTTATCGTAGGCAGCACTGCTATAAATTGAAGTTCAATAGAATTATATACAATAGTTGTTGGCATGCAACGAAGAAAAACTGATTTGTTAAAGCGGCAGCAGCACCAGCAGCAGCAGCATTCCCATTAGCAGAAGCAACCGAGCAGCAGCAGCAGCAGCAGCAGCAGCAGCAGCTTCTGTTTTGATGTGAAATGCTGGCAATCAGATGAAGTTCAACTGGGGAACAATCAAAGCCATTAACCTCATTTTACGTGCCTGTGCGCTGTAAGCGAAGGGCGATGGATGGGACGTGGGCGGGGTCATGTAAACTAAGAACGGGGCAATTAATGCCAAAGCTTAAACATTTATCTATTGAAGTGCATGCAGCGCACCGCTTGGCCACTTGGCACAGTTTTAATAGCTATGCATAGCTAGCAGACGCATCAAACGCCAACTATGTATTTCTGTCGGTTCCATGTGCCAGGGGCGGGGGTAGGGGCATTGGGGCGTGTCAATACTTACAGAGACGTCAGCGAGTTGAGATGCTCGAATGAACCAGGCATGACGCATGAAATTTGATTGTCATAAAGATTGCTGCAATTGGAAAAATTAAAAATAAATGTTTAAAGATGTATTCGGATATAAATTAATACATGTAAATGTATATGTATGAATGCCTTGTGGACTTACAGAGTTTTCAGCTGATGAAGTCCGAGGAACATTTTATTCGAAATTTCCTTTATCTTATTCTCGCCCAACTGCAAATCCTGTATGCGCGATGCACCCTCAAAGGCGTTCGGCTCAATGCCAGTCAGCTGATTGCGCTTCAGCTCCAGTTTAACCAGATGCGGCAATCGTCCAAACAGGCCATCCGAGTTAATGCGTCCCAACTCGTTGTCGTTGAGTAAACTATGAAAGCAAATACACACACACATGGTCACGTTTAAGTTGATGTTATATGTAAGCTTCTTAGTCACAATAAAAAACAAAAAACATATTTTTTAATGTTTACATTAATCTTAGAATTAAAAAAGCTTTAAGTGCATCTTTGAATGCAGAAGAAACTAAATTTTTACTAAAAACCATAGTAATACAAGTTAATTAAACTATTTAGAAATAATAATGAATAATAATAGTAAGCAATCTATACACAGGTCTTTTATTTAGATTTTTAAAATACTTTATTGATAATCATTATATATCTTAGACCAATTCGGTTCATTAAGCCATCGGACATAACTTCGAGTAGAAGAGAAGAGGAGAAGAATTTTGCTATAAAAAGCGGTTAGCGAATAATTTATGAACTGCCTTAAGAGGCGCCCATTTAAAGAGGGATAACACTTTTATAAAATGTATTGTGATAAGTATTCTAAGAGTTTGGTCTTGTTGGTAACTTACAGCTCTGTGGTATGCAGTGGAATGTCGCGTGGTATTTCCTTGAGACCACGTCCCGCACAGTCGACCGTCGTGCCCTCGCACTGGCACATGGATGGGCAGTCCGAGTCCATGCGACACTCGCCGGATAGCTTCATTCGCAATTCATCCCAGGAACCTGCACAATTGTCAAGTGGGTGGGTGCGTGGGTGTGAATGTGGGTGGGGGTAAGGGGGTAAGGGGTGGTACGACACAAAGTTAAGACATATTCTTTTACTTGTCTTGTTTTGCCCGTCGGGCGCACTTACATTTGAATTTCTCCTCGCGCAAAGATTCAATGCGCCGGCGATGCATCCGCTTCGGTGACTCACAGCGTGCTCCACTTGTCTCTATGGGATTTTTGTGCAAATAGTCGGCCAGCCAGCGCAGATTGCAGTCACAAATGAAAGGATTCTTGGCCAAATGTCTATACACACACACACACACACACACACACACACAAACACACAGAAACAACCCACATACCAATTCACGTACATATATATGCATATATATTTATTTGTATACATACAAGTATTTTTCGTTGTGTTGCAAATGGAAAGAAAGAAAGAAAGTAGCATTGAGCATTTGTAGTGAATGGAACGAAGGGAGCTGGCGCGGAGAGCAGATGAGCAGCAGGGGGAGAGCAGCAGCAGATGGCGTAAGAAAAGGCAAAACTGTTGTGGGTGGAGGCTTGAGACGTCTTAAAAGTGCACGAGCCCTGCGGCTGCAACGTTTCCGTTGTTTGTTGCTGTTGTCGCCAACGTTTTGAAAACTATTTTCAAAGGCAATCCTTGCCAAAGAGCCTTCCCTGGCGATGCCGTGTGACAGAGTAGCTATAAAATAGCTAGCAACTAAAGTCATCTAATATCATATTGTAATTAGAGAATAAAACTTTACTACGCGAGTTAAATTAGTAGCGACTGAAAAGTTTATAAACTGCTCTGATATTTTGCAACAAATCAATCTCAACGGTTGACTCCAATTCATTTAAAGGAAATTCGTGTGATTACGAATATTAGAAGGCTGAACGGACACATATAATAAGAAATAAATACAAACTTTTGAATTTTTAAAACCCTCGTGCCGTGCATTACTTCTGTATACCAGACTTAAGTTCGAAATGTAGATTAGTCAATTGATCAAAATTGGAATAATGTAGAGGCGTTGCAATGTGGACATGCTAGTAAAGAAGTTCGATTCCCTAAGGGAATTTCAATTTGATGTTTATCGGAACTGGAAATGCAGTTGTTAAGATTAGCCTAAGTGATTTCTATATAGAAGATATCATTTTAACTAGTATAAATTAATTAACATGAAAGTTCACACAGATCTAAATAACATTATTATTAGTATGTACCTCAGTTTTCTATTTTGAACAGCCTGTTATTGTGAAAATATCAATGCGTCCTACCATTGGTCACATTTTTGCCAGCTATTTGGTTTGTGGTTGACAGCCGTGGCAAATATTAAACCCACTCAAGAAAGGCGTAGACCAACTTAAGGCCGCACAGTACTTAAGCTCAGCGCATTTATCGATGCTATATCGTCCCTGCTTCCACCCTTTGGGGGCCGATAGAAAATGCGCCGCCTTTTGTTCGTTGAACATGTTTACGGTTCACAGCCGATATTTGTGGCTGGGGCCCTGGGGACTGCGCGCATTCATAGAAAAGGCGGAGCTGATGTTGTTCGGCTGCTAAACAAATGTCAACGCGGGCCACTGTTGCTGCCAAGTCAAAGGAATTACTAAATGCACTTCAACGGTTTAACACCAAGTGCCTGGGAGCTCCTTCATTCAAAAGCCAAAGGAGCTGCTGGCTCTAAGGGGCGCTTCCCCCACTTGAAACATGCGCTCACCAGCCAAGCCAAAACCAGCCTCTCAATGGGGGCGGCTGTGAGGGCGTGGAAGTTCTTATGCAGCGGCAGACGGGCGGGGCAAGGGGCGTTGTACTTACACCGTTTTGATGCTCTTCATGGCGTCGAATGTGCCATTAGCCAGCGACTGTATGTTGTTGTCGTAAAGTGAGAGCAAGCTGAGGCTATGCAGGTCGCGGAAGGCATCCTTGCGTATGCAGGAGATCTCGTTGGCATTCAGCAGCAGCAGCTGCAGCGAGCTGAGTCCTTTGAATACGCCCGAGGGCAAATCCTTTATTTTATTGCCATACAGCACGCTGCAAGCAAAAGAGAAAAAGCCCGAGTTGAAAAACGACAAAGCAAATGAATAAAACACAAATGGAAATATTGCATAAGTACGAATGGGCATGAGTACGACAAACTGGTGAATGCATACTCTTTTAGATCACTACTATGATGCGGGCTAAAGTAATCGAGAAACTATTCATATTTTAGTTTTTCATTATAGCACAGTCTCATTTGGTTTGGAATAATTGTACTCTACTCTCTGAAGTCCACATGCCCCACAAAATCAAGATACCCTGCACCACATAGGGTATATGGTGGCAGACAGAGCCTGTGCTGCTTCTTGTTTCTGCTGAGGTGGGCTTATGTTGTTGTCATTGCGGGCGGCAACTGGTTTAGTACACAAACAACCTCACACTCTGCCAAAAGGGGGGCAGTGGGCGGGGCAGCACATGGCGGCGAGCACGGGTAATCTGCTGCCTTTTGGTGTTGGCGACGCTTAGCGTAGGCCGATTAGCCCCTCAAGCTCCACCTGAGACCCTTAGGCCCAGTGGCTGTCAGGAGGAGTGTGTGACGGACGGGCAGACGGACGGTCGGACTTACTGACTGACTGACACTTTACACAATCAGCGAAGCGACTGCACATTTTGCTGGCATATGCATGCGCTACTTGTTGCTAATGTGCATCTACTTACAGTGTGGTTAGCTGCTTTAGGCCACTAAGCGCATCGTGAGCAATTCGCGAGATGTTGTTGTTGGACAGATCGATGCGTCGCAGTCGCCGAAAGCTGGAGAAAGATTTTGCTGGCAGTTCGGTGATAAAATTCTGCTCCAAGCGCCTGTTAACGAAAAAGGGGAAGCAGTTACAATTACAATTTAGATTTGTTATCCTTGTGGCTAAACTTACAGCTCGGTGGTATCATCCGGCAGTGTAACGGGTACACTCGTCAGACTCTTCTCACGGCAATCGACGATGCCATCGGCACAGCGACACGGGTGGGGGCAGCTGTTCTCCACGCCGCATTCCATTGGCGCATGCTCGGTGAGACCTGCAAGTGTGTGTGTAGCAATTGTAGCAAGTGTAAAGCAGACGGCATCTCGAGCTGGTTACACCGACTCATTCAGCGAGCCCAGCGCTGAGCCACTCGGCTTTGATTTGATCCACAGCAGTAGCAACCTCGAAGCAGCCTCAGCAGCAGCAGCTACATAATTATGAATGCTACTGCAGCGCGCCAAGCTGCAGCTGATGGCTGTCCCAGCTACAACTTAGGCTCCAACTGGAGCCACAGCTGCCGCTGGTCATAAATGTTTACCCACATAATTCCATAGCATTTTGTACACAAAACGAAAGTCAAACACACGCTAAGAAAATACAACTCTAACTAAGCTGACGAATGCGCTATGCTCTCTCAATTTCCTGTAAGATTGATAACTGAATAAAAGTCAGGTGATAGCTCTTTCCTGTAAGGACTTGGCTTTTCACTGAACTATTTTCCTCTTTTAACAACTTCCAAGATACTTTCCAGTAAATGTTCACCTATTAAGAGCTCGTCAACGCGAAACAATTAACTGAGTTCCATCAAAAATAAAATATGCCATTAAGCAGGCAGCAAAGATCGACTCAAATCAAATCGAATTAACGCCTTATTTAACATTGCGCTATTGGCTAGCTTAAGTACCCAAGAGCCTGATGGAAGTGTGTAACTCTTTATGGCATAGAGCATAACAAGTACAATATAACGATGGATGAAAAACTCGTTTCATGGCATCGTTTGGCGCACATTTTCCGCTTCATTGAACGCCAGAGTTTGGAGCTGTTCATTTGGCTTGGGAGACGAGTCGCGGCGCGTCGTGTCCACTCGAGTCGAGTTGAGTCGAATCGAGTCGATCTATTGGGGGGCTTTTCAAACGCTGCTGTAGCCCGCAGCATCTGCATCCCAAACAAGCAAGCGATGACGGCGTTAAACGTTTTGGCAAACACACTATGATGATGATGCTGATGATGATGCCCTCGCCTCAACCCCTGCAGCCCCCTTCTGTCCCTTGTTGCAGGAGCTGCTGCTCTTGTTGTTGTTGTTGGCTTGAGTGGGCGGCACATTGGGGCGTGCCCATATGACTACTTATGATTTACAATGCTTTGTTCCAGTCAATGCTGGCATATAAAACTAATTAATTTGGGATCGCTCTCTGAGGCCCCACGACATTTGTCCATTTTTGGAGGGCCTCAGCCCCGCAGCGATGTCATGTGGTCCATACCTGAGCATTTGAACTCCTGATCGTGCAGGTCCGCCACGTTTTGGCCCTTCAGTTGCGACGGCGATTGGCAGCGCGTGTAGGGGGCGAGTCGCGGCGCGCTGCGTAGGTAGCGCGACAGCCAGGATAAATGGCAATCGCAGGCGAACGGGTTATCCGAGAGGCGCAGGGCCCGCAATTTTCCCAATCCCCCGAAGGCATTGTGCGGCAGGGCGGTCAAGTTATTATTATTCAGTGTGCTGTACGGGTACAAAAGAGAAGGCAGAAGCGAGAATAAGCGAGACAGAGCCAGAGCTGGGTTAAGAGGTGGGTCTTGCGGGAAAATAAGTTGCATTATTGCATTATCAAGTGAATGCATCTATAGTTGGCCGTATACTAAGGTACACTTAGGGATGGGCTTAAACACAATCGCGTGTGCGCAAAGACTTTTTTTTTACTGTTAGAACTCATAATTCATTTGTTTATTCATTATTCAGTGATTTTCGTTAGCACTGGCTAACAACTATCATAACTCATTCCACAAAATAAATAATAATTTAGGATTGCAAATCTAATCTCAGTATAGCATCAATAGGTCAGTAAATACTACTGATAGTCGAATTGTTTTTGCTATTCAAGTCCTTCGTAATTTTACAACACTATTTATCTATAATTGCATTAACATTCTTGTATACCAACGATTAAGTTAGCTAAATAAGCAGAATGCTGCATTGTGTTTGCCCATCCCTAATTGCAGGGGCGCACAGTACTCACAGTATTTCCAGCTCCAACAATCCCTTGAAGGCATGCTCATCCATACATGTGATTTGATTGTTGTCTAGCTGTAGGCTCCGCAGCGACTGGGCGCCCTTAAAGACCCTCCGGCCGACCGTTGTGATGACATTGTGTGAGATGTCCCTGTCGAGGCGAGTCGAGGTTACCGGGCAGGAAGGCAGGCAGGCAGGAGTCATGTGAGCAGGTGAGCAGGCGGGCAGGCGGCCAAGCGGGAAGAGGAAGGATTTGAAAGTCAGTAAATGCTTTAAATCTATGGGGATACTGCTACACAATAAATATAGGCAGACTATAGATAAATGTAATTGCTACAGATCTACGTTGATTACTTACAATCGCAAAAGACTCGCTGAACTTGTCACAAAGTTTTCAGGTATTGCCTTAAGTCGATTGTTGTTTAGGCGTCTGATTTATAGAGTGAAGTGTTGGGTATATTTTTGGTTTTTGTATTTTTTTGTTTTTGTATTTTTTGTTTGGTGTACGAGCATATTAGATACGCAAAACGAAACGCAACGAAAGTAGAGAGATATGTATGCATAAAACGAAACGAGAAAAAGATACAAAAAGTTAAACTTAAAACTCAACAAAAATCGAATTTCGAGCTATATTGTATATATAATATTATGACTTTATTAATTTTTGATATAGCTATGCGCTATGTGCATCTAGGTCTATAAAGAGCGGCAAATTTTTGGTTAGTTCAACAAGTGAATTAGTAGTAAAAGTATCATGCACTAGCATCGAATCGGCAAGTCATTCGATTTGTCTGCTATCCCAACTTTCGAATCGATGCAGTTCACTACTTACAGTCGCTCCAGTGAAACCAAATCTTGCAATGCATTCTTCTCTATAGTATGGATTTGATTGTCTGTCAGTTGTCTGTGAAATGATTTGTATATATATTAATTTTACATATTAGATAAAATGGATTCATCAATCTTAAATAAAGTTTTATTTATCTATAAAATAATTCAGATCAAATGGAACCGTTTTGTAATATCTTTATCTTTTCGAATGAAGATCTATTCATAGTAAACTACTAAACTTAACGTATTTTTACATGTTTTCCGACATAACCCTCGCCAGTGGCGCTATTTAACCCATTACACAACACATCTGTCTCTAATAAATTTAATTTAGTCATGGAATAAATATTTTTATTTTGCCTAGTTAACGTTTTCCCAATTGCAAAGTGCAAATAAATTCATGATTATCAGTCGTAGGATACACTAAATACATATGTTGTGAGACCAGTTTCGCGCACACTTTCCATTTCAATTTACAGCTAATATCACGGCATTTTGTTTTACTTTGCATGCGACATTTTGCATTTCGTAATGATCAATTTTTGACAGATTTTACTAACGAATATATTGACCAACGGTTGAATACGTGTTCCATGAGGCTTAACAGATATGTAATAGAACTTGTTAAGTTTCTGAATACAACAAGTAAGAAGACTCTAGTCGAGACTGCTTGACTAGGAGATACCCTGAACCCTCCAAGCTGATAAGTCCGCGCTTTGCTAACTGCGCAGTTGGCAGCGACTGCGCTTGGGCTGCGCTGCAGTGTTGGCAATATTATGATTGTTTATTTGTTGAATAATTGCTTTTGTATACATACAATCATAATTAACCTTTCAGAGCGTGATCATCACAAGTTTCTACTACTTGAAATACGTTTTTTATAAATTGGAGAAGAAGGGGGGCGTGGTATCCAAAATTTGTAAATTACTAAATGTGTATTCGTCAAATGTATATATACAGTAAATCTGAAGTCTCTAGATTATCCTCGATAAAAACATATCGAATGAGTTATCGAAAAAAATTTGATAAATTTTGTCTTGCGCATGATATATGCGAGTATCCAGCTCCCTAGCTTTTATAATTTCTGAGGTCTAGGCGTTCAGACGGTCTGACGGACAGACAGACGGGCTATATCAACTCAGCTTGTCACCCTGATCAAGAATATATGTATATACTTTATGGGGTTTGCGATGCTTCCCTTTGCCTGTTGCATACGTTGTCACAAAAACATTACCCCCTGAATTTACATTTACATAATGGGTTCAGGGTATAAAAGATTTTAAAAAATAATTGACGGATTGAATTGATTAAAAAACGATTATCTCTTAGCGAGATACGCCATTAAAATAATTAAACTATTAATATAAGACATATGATATTCTACTTATACTTACAGCATTCGCAGTTTGGTCAAACGCTGAAAATCCGTCTCATATATCACGGTTAGATTGTTGCCCTGCAAATCGCTGAAAATAAAAAGAAAAGGAAAGAAAATACAATTACGAGATCTTATATTTCGAGCTCTTCTTTAATAATGTTGCAACCAAAGTAGCTCGCTAATCGGAATCGGAATAATTGCTTGTAAGACAAAGCACATGAACAACAGCAACAACAACACAGCTACAATCGGAGATATGAATTCAAGCAGCTGGAGAAGATGCAGATGCACTCAAAGCAAACAGACGAAGAGAGAAGGAGAGCTCCGAGAGGAGCTGTGGCTACGGCTGTTGAAAACTCAGCCTTTTGTCTGATAACAAAAATATGATATTTAATCATTTAACATGCACAGGAAGAAAACTCGTTTTTAGTTTTATGATGGCACAGACAGACAAACGGACTGAGATACAGAAAATTTGTTACCTGTAGATGTCATAACAATGAAATGCAACCTAAGAGATATAAAATACCTGCAAAGAGCCACGGACCGTGTGCGCATGCGCAGCCAGCAACAACAACAGCCTCTCGTTGTGCCCGGTGCCTCAGTTCAGCTCAGCTCAGCTGCTTGTTGAGTAAGGTTGGCAGCCAGAGCTGAGCCACAACAGGTAGTAAGACCTTCAGTCCGGGCCCAGAGCCACAGCCACAGCCACAGCCACAGCCACAGACAGAGCCAGAGCAACAGCTACAGCGACAGCCATAGCTACAAACGAGAAATATTTTTCAGCTTAAGCCTTAATGAAACTCGCATCAAGTGGCCGATGAGCGAGTACACTGAGAGAAATACATAGGGCAGAGGTCGCTTATCAAAACTACAAGCGATTGAGAACAAATTTAAGTTGATGTTGCGAAAGCCCTTTCCATTAATTTCATTGCTTTTACTCTGTAACGGTCGATTGGTCCATCATTCATATTGCTTCAGGCATAACAAATATTGTACTTCAACTAGATTAGCTATGTTGCTTATAGTCAATTTGCCACCTTAAGAAGCATTTTCAGTTCAATCTCAGTGTAGCATTATGATCAGGTCCGAGCTGCTACACACAACACACTCACACACACCAGCAGAGTTTTTAATGAGCTTAATATCTTGCCAAGATGTGGGCATCTCTTGCTAAGATTTAACTGATTACGGCGACCCATAGAGATACGCCTGAGACTTGAAACAAAAGACATAAATAAATACAAAAAAAAAAAAAGTTTGTCTTTTCTAATTGCTAGACATTTTTCAACATATTTTTAAAAATAATTACAGTAATCGCAAGTTGTTTTTAAGCTTTCAAGTCGTGGTTCTGTGTGTGCTCAACATTTTCTTTCCCTTGGAGCGCTGTGTTATAATTAAACATTTAACATATAGCATCTGGCATTTAAGTTCATTAAATCATTTGGAGCGTTCACAATTCGGCCACGAAAAAGCTTTGCAGGTTTTAGGGCCCCAATTAGAGCTCAGCTCGAGTTGTTCGCTTCATATTTTCATTCTTGTTTTTTCCCGTTTTGGTTGTCTTTGAAGATTTTGGCAGCTATAAATTAGGCTCACCTTTTTTGAATTTACCTCAACTTGATTTTTTCTACGGCTTTTATTCTAGAGGTGTGAAAGGGCTGTCGGGCACATATTGGGGCTGAGTTCGCCAGGGTTGTGAGAGGTTACCGGCCAAAGTTGTATGCAAAACTGTTTTCGTGTCGATTGCTGAAAACTTGTAGGTGGGAGACTGCTGTGTTGGCTGGTATGCTGACTGACAGACAGCCAGGCCGTTGGTTACCATTCTAATGGTAGCTTCCTTTCGTCTTCCACATATTTCCTATGTAACTATGCCTGTCGCTCTGCTGTGTAATTAAATGGCTAGAATCGGCTGGCCCTGGGTCTGACTCCACATTGCTTTTTGCATTAAGCATTGTTTTTGCTTTTCCAGTGTGCCTTGCCTGTCAATATTTGATGTGCATAGCACACACACACTCCCAGATATGCGCCTCTCCCAATGAGTGTGCATGTGTTTGCCCCATGTACAATCTATGCCAAAATTAGGGTGACCCAACTCTGCTGATGATTATCATAGCTAATATAAATAGTTCTTTTTATTTTTATGTATGTATTCAGTCATTAACGTACCATCAGTTAAAATATCACAAAGAATCCTTTAATTCCAGCAGACTTGTACCTAGTCCGGCAAAGCCTTTCGACAGCTTTTATTACACTTTCATAGCTTTTTAGTGAAAGGGCTACTGTGTTTGCATGACTTCGGTGTGGCTTTAATAGCTCCATCATAATTAAAATAAAACTAATGAATTAACATGCAGACGTGTGCAAAGCCCGGAATTGAATTTACAAATAACTAGTTACAACAGAGGGTTCTTCAACGTAGACTTGCAATTGTCAACCTACAGTTTGGAGTTTCCATTAAAATGAATGAATATTAGCACAAATAAACAAGCAAAATCTTAATTATTACGTAACAGCCGCTTAAGCGAACATATTTTTTTTCTATTACAATTAGAGTCTTGCATCTATTCGTCTCCCCGGAGCTATAAATATTCATTAAAATACTTGAGCTCTCAACATTTTCTCTTCGTGGATTTTAAATAAAACTGTCAATCATATTTTTAAGTATCTCCCCTTTCGACTTGGTGCAGCTCATGTTTCATTTTTCAATTAATTCTCATCCAAGTAGTACTCATATTTCCATTACGCTCTCAGTGACTGCACGAATCTTTTACCTTAATGTTAACATCAATATGTTTATATCTAACTATGTTCTTTCGGGGTTTGTCCATTTATAATTTTCAGTTCTCTCAGTGCTCAGTGCTAGTGCCCCGACTGCTAGTCAGCCATTCAACATTTTCCGTCATAAGTTTTTTGTGGCCTGAAACACCCTGTGCCGGACGGGCGCCTGGTAATATAAAATGCAAATATGCCGTGCATGTTGATATGTTTTCTGTTTCTGTTTTTGTTGTTATTTTCCCGTTTTTTTCCACATATATATATATTTTTGTTTTGTCATGTTCTGGTCGCTTTTGCTTTTTGCATAAAACAAATGTGTCCCTGAGCGCTATTTGAATGCTTAAACTGGGCTATGTTGTTGTTGCTCAACGTTGATATCTGTTATTAATTTATGTAGAGAAAACGCAGCAACAACAACAAAGATTGCTACAGCGCCAGCGCTTGCAACTGCAGCTTTTGAGGTCGCTGCAAAGCAGTCTACAGGTCTGTTGGGGCTCGATAGTAATGGCTCGGCAGAGGGTGTGGCATGGCATGGCCCGGCACTGCACTGTCCAGCGATGGAGCGCTGCTCTGTAGTATTTTGCATACACTTGCTAATTGCCGGCGCGTTAATTTATGTGGCGTCCACGTACGCAGACGTCGGCTTAATGCATTTGCCACTTTGCCAGTGGCATGCAACAATTGCCAAAGTGGCCGCCAGTTGCTGTGCTGGCTGGGCCGCCTGATGCGCTTATGCTGCCTCCTTCGGCGACAATTAATAAACTTAATGGCAATTTAATGTACGACGCCGGAGACAGCACAAGACGACAGATTTGCCGCTGCCTTCAACCATTCGAACTATTCATTCATCCATTTTTCCATTTGTCCATTTACTTCGCTGTTATCGACACGAAATGGTCACGGCTTTATTTGTTTTAGTTGTTGTTGCTTGTCTATGCGTATATACCAGAAGTGCTCAGCTGTGCTCGCTTGTGTTTTGTAAATAAATATTAAATATACATATATATATATATATATAAATATATATATATATATATATTATATAACATATTGAATGCTGTCGTATATATCATTGTCAAGGCTAAAACTAGCTCATGCAGTTCGCAATCCAAATAGATATACAGATAACAGCCACATATGTGTGTCTGTGTGAAATTACTATCTGTGTGTGCTGGATTATCATATCAGACCCAACCCATCTATCTACATAAAACAGTGTTATATAAACAGCTACTTATTTCAGTTCGTTATCAGCATCAATTTATTTATATAATATAAAATATTTATACGGCCCGTTCGAGTATTTATCTAACCAGATATTCATATATGTACATATTATAGCTTTGGCCTGACCAACTGATTATATATTTCTTTAATAACTATTTCACCCTCAAAAAATAATTTGAAGCTCTTAACGAACTTTATTCGCTAATTATACCCTGAACCCATTGAAAATGGGAAATCAGAGCTTTAGTTCTGCCTGTCTGATCGCGACGATCTCAGAAGATATCGAAGAAGAAGAGCTAGCGACTTGAAATTTATATACTCATTCACGGAAGTGAAATGAGTATATTGGTTTTGTGCAATGTCCGTCTCTCTGTCCGTCCGTCTGTCCGTATGAAAAAAGTTTATTTCGGCGCTATTGAAGCTAGAGATTTGAAATTTGGAACACGTACTCGTATATATATGTTATGCCAGAAATCTTATTAGTTGATGAGCTAGAAAGCTGAAATTTGAAATGTAGAGCCGCATCGACAAGATCATGATCTATGGCGGATATATGTCAACCCATAGGAGGAGTGGTAAACCGTAAACTTGTTTTATAACTGCTCTAGTTGATACTTTCACATATGCATTTTAAAAATATATTTAATCTCTTACGAAAATATTTTGCCCTTTCTTTTTAAATTTAATGAATTGGTTTCTTAGCAGTTTAAACAGTTTTGCTTAGTAAAAAATGCTCGGCTACAATCGTTTTTAATTAAGCTTGACTAGGTTTTATCAACATTTAAGAATGCCTATAGATTGTGATCATGTCTAAAGACTTCCAAAATACGCAGGCTTTGTTATTATTAAACAAAAATTTTAAGCTTACAAAATTATTCAAATGTCTTTGTTTAAAAGTTTATAAATACATTATTTAAAGTATCTTTGTATTTGTAGAGACCAACAAGTCCATAAAGACCGAACCACGTTTGAGTTCCCAGGCATATCATAGACAGACAGACGGTTAATACACTCTATTGATTTTGACCATGTCAGATAATAGTAAAAAAGCATTATTTACCAACATCAAAACTAGATAATCTATACACTATTTATACCCTGAACCCATTGAAAATGGGAAATCAGGGTATAATGGTTTTGTT